ATAGAGAATTTAGGACTGGTTTGAATGTAAGCCCAGACATATTGAGGGTTTTGAAAATGTAGATTGCGAAAAAAATAGTAGCAGACAATTTATATTGAGTAGGTTTGTTCTAATGGAATGCAAAAAGGCACTGAAGGCATACATTAATATCCCAATATAGAATAACAATTTACACAAGCGAATGTAAATTTAGAATGGAAATTTGAACAGACACAAAATGTACGCATTATGAAAAGCAGAAACTTTCTATCATTTCAGACGCAAATGAAGCTTTTAATATCATAAACTTTCCACCATTTCCATACGCGAGCGGAGCTTCAAAGATATCTCAAAATATAGTATCAGAATAACTTCTCCTAGACTTTGAAAGCAGTTGAATAATTTGAATTTGCACAAATTAAGGAAAACTAACTCACCATCGATAAAGCATAATGTGTGACTTTCTTGTGGATTTGGCACTGTTTGATGTGGCAAAGACATCGTTTGATAACGTAAGGACACCGGAAGAAGTGGAAGACGTCGACCCGTCAAGAACGATGATGGATTCACTGCAATTACAGACTTTTATTTTAACTCCACTATGCAGATAAATAATAATATGAGCAATAAGAGTGGAAGCAGAGTAGATGAAGAAAATGTGACAGTGTGCTCAATAAAATTGGCATGCTTATCGCCAAGTATGGCGAGATGCTAGTGTTAGTGGATAGTATGAAGCAACTAAGGCAGCCAGAGTAATTATCGTTCCAGTAACAATTCCTATTAATTCCACAAGTGAATGTTCTAATTCTACGAGATAGCCATAAATCACCCCATTTTACTATCCTATAACGATCTAGGACTGAACATAACCAGCATTTCAGAACTAAGATTCTAATTTCCTACAATTTTGCATAAACTCAACAACAGATGTTATCAATGTTATAAATACATAAATGGAATTCTTTTTGGAAGTTTAAGCACGATTAAGCAGTAGACGGAAGAATGAAAGCTATTTAGTGCACACATACCATTTTATTAAATTGTTGAAACAATTTTAAAAAATTTAAATCTAAACTAATTTGCGAACGAGTTTTTGCTGTCATTTTGACAAAACGACCTTGCATCACCTA